CTTTGTAGCATACTGGTTTGTCCTTTAGTCCCTTTATCATTGAGGGGAGCAGGGCTTGCTCAAGTTTTTCAGTGTATAGATCATCTATATCTTTAACGGACCATTGGTTAAAGGCAACACAAAGCTAAGGAACATAAAGTACAGCTCTGCAAATTTATATTGGTAATTGGCACTCCATCCACAAATTGCATTAGCAAAACAAGATTTAAGTTCACAGTTTATTCAGTTCAGCTTCTCCCAAGAAGACTCACCAAGGCAGCATGTTTGTGGAAAAATACCTGCAAATAAGGCTTAGAAATTGTTTCTTTAGAAATAAATTATAAAAATTTAGCTAGTTGATTTATTTTTAAGCACAACAAGCATTTCGGCAACATGAAAACAGGTTTTTTGGGATCCATTTTTTTCATGAGTTTCATATTTACATTTTAATGTAAACCTGAATTAAACATTACATAGACATTTTAAAGCTCCCCCCTTTATTCTTACATAAATAAAGCCAAGTCAGTAGCCTACTCATAAATCTTTGAGATTTAAAGGAATACAGACTTAAAATTACATTAGGGTGAACTTAAAAAATTTTAGTTTTGGGCGCCTGGGTGGCTCAGACAGTTGAGCATCTGCCTTCTGCTCAGGTCGTGATTCCAGGGTCCTGGGATCGAGTCCCGCATCAGGCTCCCTGCTCGGAAGGGGGCTGGCTTCTTCCTCTCCCTCTGCTGCTCCCCCTGCTTGTGCTCTTTCACTCTCTCTCTGTCAAATAAATAAAATCTTTTAATTAAAAAAAATTTGTTTTTAGTTAAGCATTTCTCTACATGTTAAAATGAACTTTATACCATAATCTTTAATTGTGCATTTAAGGTAATTTCACTGTGTTACTTTTACTACATTAAAAATGAATGACATGATTTTTTTTTTAAAGTCTGAGGGGTTGTACTATTTCTAGTGAAAAAAGTTTTGGTAGTTTTAAAAGATAATGGAAGATAGTTATCCAATCATTCAAATACAGTTTCATAGAAGCTTTTATAAAGAATGGGAAAGAACTATCCAGAAATATTTTGTAATGTTCAGAGATATCAATTACTGAAAGCCTTGATTCTTGAATAGTATATAAGGAGTGTTTGCTGAAGGTTTACCCTGGATGGTATGGTGGGAAACCTGTAGTTGAAGTTGTAGATTGTCACAGGAGAGTGAGCACACTGACGAGAATAAAACTTAAAACAATTGCAGTAGCAGAGAGTCTTCACTCAGGGCTTTAGTTTGAACTCTTTAAGTGAATTGTAGATGCACTGGTTTATGTCTAGAGTCATGGTGGCTAGAGTTTGAGGTGAGTATCTCATCAACTGGAAGTTTATTTAACTAGTAAATACTGGAGCTAGGATGCTGCTCTTTGGCTCTTAAACTCTGTACATAATATTTGCTGTTTCCCATGGTTTCCTCTAGATCCCACAGACTACATTTTACTGATACTTACTGGGATTTTGTTCATACCACTTTCTTAAAATCCTTCTTTTTGAATCTCATGAATTTGTACTTAGTTTTCTGGACTTCTCTAAATTAAAGCACATTTTAGGTGGCTGACTTAAGTCGGTAGAGCATGTGACTCTTAGGTGGTGAATTCGAGCCCCATGTGTGGCATAGAGTTTCGTTTCTGAGAAATGAGCACTCATTTTAGATTTGGTCTTGTTCCTGCATCAGTGATTTTTAGCTTTATTGTGAGTAGGTACGTTCATAGTATTTTAGCAGTTTGGGAAATCCTCACACATTCTAAAGCCCAAACAACATGGTAGCCTGTAAAATCAGTCCTAGGAAAATCAGGGGTAAGCAGGGAGAAACATCATCTTGAAATTTCATTGTAGATAAAAAATAATGAAGCAGAAGAAAATACTTCTTAACACTTGAATGAAATTATAATGGGATTGCATATTTAAACTGAATGTGATAAACCACTGTTGTACAGGGAGGAGGGAGTAATCTTTTTAGATTGTTCTTACCTGTAAATTATAGCATGTAGCTTTTATTTTTTTTTTTATGATTTATTTTAGAGAGAGTACACAAGTGGGGGGAAGAGCAGAGGGAGAGAGAAAAGCAGACTCCCTGCTTAGCCTAGAGCTGATGCCATGACGCTGAGATCATGACCTGAGCTGAAATAAAGAGATGTTTATTTTATTTTGTTTAAGTAATCTCTACACCCAACATAGGGCTGGAACTTAAAACCCCGAGACCAAGAGTTTCATTCTCTACTGACTGAGCCAGCCAGGCACCTCTGTAAACTTCTATTTTTAATAAATGACTTGTAATGCTTATGTTTTGCTTGGAGATTAGGACAGTTTGTCTTATCTGTTCAGATAATTACTTAGCTAATGTGCATCCAGAAGTGTTTTAATTTCTTTAAAATGGTATCTTAATGACCTTTTTTATTCGGGCTAGATTTTATACCAACGCTTAAATGTCCAGATTTCTGATTTAGGGTGCAGTCGTAATTCTCTTGGGATTTAGTGCTTGTTCCTTTGGTAACAATGAAACTTTCATGAAGACTTTTTAATGCCTTTGGCTTTATCACTAGGGAATCAGCACATGATACATCTTGATAAGCAAGGTTTTCTTGGGGGAGGGAAATGGTTACTTAATTTGCAACTAGTTCTTGAAGCTGTAATATTTCCTATCCCTTTGAACTTGAGTGTTGTCAGAGTAGGCATAATTTTCATGTTTTCACAATTGTGCACTTTGACATTTTACAAGGAAGATCTGCTTAAACTTCCTTAGAGGAATCTGTGTGTGAGTGTTTCACGAGTCCATTTTTGCTTGAGCCAGCACTTAAGTTCCATGGCACTACAAGCCCTTTAGCACTACCAGTTGGTCTTCTGAAACTTCTTTTTTCTTCTGAAAACTAGAGCATTTGACTTCGATTTGTATTTGTGGGGCCATTACACAGATTTAAAACTGCATTTCTTGCCTCATTTTCATTGTGATGATTAACCTGCATCAGGTGAAATTGTATGGTTCAAAAGGAAGTTCCAGTGCCTACAAATAGAGGGAATCTGGAATGGCAAGATAATTGGTTTAGAGACGGGTGCCCTTTCCAGTGAGTGGGTTGGTTGGGAAGGGGTAGGTAGGTTAGATCCAACAGTATTGGGTCATGAGATGTTTCATGCCCAAAGATAAAGATAACTCACCTTTGTTTACCTCCAGAAATTGCTTTTAAAATACCATCATCTTGCACAAAGGAGAGTGGTTTCTGAATTATTTTATGTTTTATTTTATAGTTTTGAATTATTATACTGTGGGACATTAATGGGCCAAAAGAAGAAAAGCTTTATGTATGGAAAGTAGTGGTGATAAAATGTTATAATAAGTACACTTTTTGTTTGTGTTAATTCCATAAACCAATTAAAACTGACAAATTAACAACTCATTTACAATTTGTCTGCTGCAGGACTCCTGGGTGGCTTAGTTGGTTAAGCATCTGCCTTTGGCTCAGGTCATGATCCCAGGGTTCTGGGATAGAGTCCCACATCACGTTCCTTGCTCAGCAGGGAGCCTGCTACTCCCTCGGACAACTGCTTCCCCTGTTTGCACGTGCTGTCTCCCTCTCTTTCTTGCAAATAAATAAACAAAATCTTTTTTTAAAAAAAATTTGCTGAGAAGAAACCTGTAGAAGCACTAATAATACTTTCTGAATCCTACATTTTCTTACTTCCTGGGACTCAAAACTTTATAAAGTGTTCCTTAAGAGAACTTAGAACAAGAATTATGAGTGCTTTAGTAACTTATACCACATCGTTGTTTCTTTAGTACTTGACAAATTAATAACTACCGTGCTTCAAGGGAAAAAGTATCGGTGGTCTTGACTAAAAACTGCTTGATTGAAAATTACTAAGTTGTACCCTCACTTGTTTGGCAGTGTACCATGTGCTCTTTCTTAATTTAGGAAAATGTTCCTGTCATAGCTACTCCTAGGAAAAAAATGAGCTACTAGTATATTAAAATTGGAATGGAAAAAACAGATTAGGTTGGGTTGAGGGAAGTTAGCTACTAAAAAGGTGCAGAACAGAATTAAAAAGATTTTTTTCCATGGTAGGTCTTACCTTATGCTGCCAGTCTATTGTAAAAATAAAAACATGGAATTGTACAGGTTTTCTAGAACTATTATCCATGTAAGTTTTTTTGTTGCACTTGGAATTTTCTCTTTACAAAAATGAAAGTCATTACCAAGCCATCATTTCGAGGTGTGTCGTTAGCAGTCACTGGGATACTTCTCCAGTGGAAGCAGCAGTTAAGTAACAGTGGGTGGTTTTTTTGTTTTTTTTTTTTTTGAGAGCTGATGTGTGCTGCACAGTGGATGTAAGCGAACAAAACAGACAGTATTCTCCATCCTGTTGGAATTGGAACTATGAGTGCATCCTCTGCTTAAATGTTGTTAGAATGGATCATGGCTTTTTATACAAAGCTAACACATATGAATGGCTCTTTGTTTTTGTAGGCCAAAACTGGTTAATACTATCAGTTTTATATGGTTCAATTTAGTATCGCTAACTGATGGGATTTAACTCACAGTAAATACCACTGTTTGCAGACTCTGTTAATTGCAATCCCTTTTTGTATTTTATTTGGGATTGTTTCTATGTTTTATTTATGAATTATTGTAGCATATATAGAGAGTAAAATCACAAAATACATATATTTTGTGTATATATATACAAATACATATGCAGGCTATTCATTGTACAAAGTAATGCTTTATTAATACTGCCAGAGTACAGAGGAATCTTTTATGTCCATCACTTAAGGCCAACCAACTATCATTGGATATGCATGTGTGTATGTAGTATTCTCTTTAAGTAGCTGCTATATTCAAAACGGCAAAGAAGGTAGGTTTTTACTGGACTTCTGAATGAAATTAGCAAAAAAAATTGAGGGACAGTGAACATTATTATTTTATAAGGTCACTGATCGATCTTGCTGACTTAGTTGTGAAGGAGTTCTGTTTTCCTTTTATCCAATAGGATGTATAGTTACCCAGCACGTGTTCCTCCTCCTCCTCCTATTGCTCGGGCTGTAGTTCCTTCAAAACGCCAGCGTGTATCAGGAAACACCTCACGAAGGGGCAAAAGTGGCTTCAATTCTAAGAGTGGACAGCGAGGATCTTCTTCCAAGTCTGGAAAGTGTATGTATTATTATTGCAGCTTTGTGATTCTGCTATTTCTTGTGTGTTGAAATAAGGAAATTGGGGCGCCTAGGTGGCTCAGTCATTAAGTCTTTGGCTCAGGTGATCCCAGGGTCCTTCAGATCGAGCCCTGCGTCGGGCTCTCTGCTCAGCGGGAGGCCTGCTTCTCCCTCTCCCACTTCCCCTGCTTGTGTTCCCTCTCTCACTGTCTCTCTCTCTGTCAAAATAGATAAATCCTTAAAAAAAATACTAAAAGTAGAAATAGGGAAATTAATGTAGTTAATAATAGGGTTTGTACAAATGGCTTTGTATAGACAAAACAATGGAAGAGGAGAAGATAGTAGTGATTAAGGGGCCAATTGAAGTTTTAGGGAGCTAAGCACTTGTAAATTTACAAAATGTGTAAGTCAGTCAAACAGTACAAAAAGTGCTTTCAAATATAATTGAGGTCTGTAGTGGGCCTACAAAAGTAAGAATACTGTTGCTAAGGGAGTAGGCACATTAGATTTAGTTTTTAGCTACCAACTAAAAAAATGAGGATCCCCATGCCTGGGACAGTATATGATCCTGGCTCCATTTCTCCCCTAGGATCTGCTGGCTATTGCCATATGGTTTAGTTGGAAATGTGTTTGGCATCTGGTAGCTTCTGGTAGAGTTGATTCTAATCTAGAGTTTTATTTGTATTAAAGTGAAAGGTGATGACCTTCAGACCATTAAGAAGGAGTTGACCCAGATAAAACAAAAAGTGGATTCTCTACTGGAAAGCCTGGAAAAAATTGAGAAAGAACAGAGCAAACAAGGAGGTAAATGGTCTTGCCGCTTGTTGGGTGTAAAGTTGGGTTAGTTACCAAAGGTAGTTGAAGGTATATGTTGGAATAGTGGGATATAAAGCAATTGAATATGAAACTTGGGGAATTTGAATTGGGAAGGGTATTTGTGGGGGAGGATTTAGATTTGTGCTGCCGTCCTGTGATCATTAGTGGGGATTGTCTACATCCTGTGGACATTACTTGCCCCTAGACAGACTTGTCCTTCTCATCCCCAGTAGAGATGAAGAATGATAAGTCAGAAGAGGAGCAGAGCAGCAGCTCCCTGAAGAAAGATGAGACTAATGTGAAGATGGAGTCTGAGGGGGGTGCAGATGACTCTGCTGAGGAGGGGGACCTACTGGATGATGATGATAATGAAGATCGGGGGGATGACCAGGTGAAAACCACGGGAAAGGAAAGAAAGAGGTGGTGGAGGGGGGAGCAGGGACACATGGAGTGCCTCTAACTCCATCCTATTTGTGTCTGTTTCTCACAGCTGGAGTTGATCAAGGATGATGAAAAAGAGGCTGAGGAAGGAGAGGATGACAGAGACAGCGCCAATGGCGAGGATGACTCTTAAGCACATAGTGGGGTTTAGAAATGTTGTCCCATTATTTCTTTACCTAGGCGCTTGTCTAAGATCAAAATTTTCACCAGATCCTCTCCCCTAGTATCTTCAGCACATGCTCACTGTTCTCCCCATCCTTGTCCTTCCCATGTTACATTAATTCATATTGCCCTGCGCCTAGTCCCATTTTCACTTCCTTTGACGCTCCTAGTAGTTATGTTAAGTCTTACCCTGTAATTTTTGCTTTTAATTTTGATACCTCTTTATGACTTAACAATAAAAAGGATGTGTGGTTTTTATCAACTGTCTCCAAAATAATCTCTTGTTATGCAGGGAGTACAGTTCTTTCCATTCATTCATACATGAGCTCAGTAGTTGCTTCCCTAACTGCAGAGGCAATCGCATTAGTTGAGTAGCACCTGAGAGCAGCTTTGAGTTAGAGGTATGTGTGTTATACCCCACATAAGAGAGCTGTGTGGGGCTGTTCAACACAAATGTAACAATGTATTTTTGTGAATGAGAGTTGGCATGTCAAATGCATCCTCTAGAAAAATAATTAGTGTAATAGTCGTAAGATTTGTTTTCTAAAGTTGATACTGTGGGTTATTTTTGTGAACAGCCTGATGTTTGGGACCCTTTTTTCTCAAAATAAACAAGTCCTAATTAAACCAGGAATTTGGAGAAAAAAAAAACACCTGGTTTTTTATTTTTGTATTTTACAATTGTTTACTTTAAATTCTTTGTTTTGCAGCGGCCTCCACAAAAACCCTAGAATGTACTAGATATATTTTTCTTTGAGTCATAGTCATCACTCATACCAACATACACTACTCAAATGATGTGTCATTGGGGTGGGTATTGCATTAAGGAGACAGTAACTTTGATGTGGAGTGAAGATTCTTGCGCAGAATAGCTTTTTTATCCTAATGAAAAGGTTTGGGAATTACATTAAGCTTTTTCATTGATGTTTTGTGGTCCAGTTGGCACCCTTTTTGAGATTTTTTTTGTGTGCTAAATCATTTTGTCCTTAAATGGAAGAGGTTCAACCATATCACAATTTTAGGAAAATTAGAACAACTGGAGAATGAAACCTCTGTTTTCTTCCACTTTATCCTTTTAATTGCCATTTAGAGTCCCAGTTACTTTCTGGATTCTGAGTCTGTGCCTCCCAAGTTCCCAAAAATAGAAAAGCTCTTTCTTCCCTGCTCTTCTGTAGTTTATACCTTCCCAGGTGACTGAGAACATTTACTTTCAATTAGTTTAATCCATATAAATAATTTTTGTCCCTTCCCTCCTGTGTGATTAATTTCAGGTTGGTTTTTTTTTTTTTAAGGCATGATACTAATTAGCACCTAGACTTCTAAGGATGGATTTATTAAACAGCTTCTAGATTTGTACGCTTCCCTAATCCTGAAAGGTCTGGTTTATTTATGTTTTATACTTGGTTCCAGCAGAGCAGGACAAGAACATGGTTAGTTTGGACTATTACCATTCACACAAACCTTGGGTTCCCCAGAAAGCTGCTGTTTCATAGCATGCAACAAAGGCATTTATATCCAACCTACTGTGAGCAGAAGTCCTGTCCTATTAGGATCTCAAAAATCGTTTTATATAACAGGTGACAAACCAGAATAGAAGGAAGAGGCTGAACTATGAACTACCCCTTTGGACCTGACATCCATAGTACAAAAGTAGCTTTTGTGGGTTAATTTGGTCAGAAATACTTTAACCCACCCTGTCTTCTGATCTTACATGATTTCATGTTACACAAACTCACTTTCAGCACATAATCCCAAAAAGAAAATAAACTGGATGCTTAGAAGAAAGGGTAAAGGTTCTAAGATGTTAATAAAACCCATTTAAGGTTATAATGTTAGCCATCAGTACTTCTAAGATGCTGAACCAGTTAGACCAGACATGAAAGTGTCTAATTTCATATGAAACCAAGTATTGAAAGAAACTGTAGAAAGCTTAGAGAAATGGTCATATGCTCTTTGAAAATGTATGCACACACACAAGGTTATTGATAAAATGCCAAGACATCTCCAGTTTGTCATGATGGGGAAGAGTTTTCACACTCTAGGTCTCAGGCTACTAGGAGTTAAATTTCCCCATGCAACTAAGAGAACAGTACTGTAGATTTCTATAATCATGGGTTATACTCTTCTAATACTTGGAAATTCAGGCTTCTAGGCCAAAACTTACTAAAAAGGAAACATGACTGAAATAGCGTATAGTTCTATATCTTCCAAGCTGATCAAATGCAGACACTACAAGCTATTTAAAAAAGAGGCCATTGTTTTAAAGACGATTGATCTAATGAAGGCTTATAGTCACTGTTAACATTATTTAACTGGGCCCCAGGAAGAGATTGGAATGGGTTCAGTAGAAATAGAGGCAGAGCAAGCAGCCGGCTCCTAGGGTTTGCAGTGGGTTGGCAGTGCGGGTGGGGTTGAAAAGCTTGACAGTTTCAGAGTCAGCTAATTGTTTAGAGGGGATTCGGGGTAACTATCTCAAAGACCAAGGCCTTAAGCTATTTAGAAGTAAGATTTTAAAACAGTAAAATATGGTGATGCATTTGTTGGGTATTATAAAATTCAGAATAATGGTTTGCCCAATATGCCCAGGAAATGTAAGAAAATAGTCTGGAAGCCTTTAAGATTGCAGTGTCCAGCCAAGATTGGATGAAGAAGGTGGATGACTTAAATGAAATCCCTTTGGACCATTTCTGATGCTACATAATTTCTAAGGGGGAGACTTATATGGAGTTCACTGGCAAAGGTACTTTCCTAATTTGCTATTTCACCAGTGAAAGGAGCTAACTTAAACCTGTTGGAGTGGAATGGATGACATTTGGAATGCTTGAAAAGAGGGTTCCCAATAGATTTCAGTTCACCTGGCACCCCAACATCTGAAACCTGCAAGGATTAGTAGTGCTAGTCAGTATGTACATGTTTTAAAGTCTCCCTTAACAGATGGGACTAGGTGGAAGAGAATGGGAAAATACAAACAAGAACAATAGAATTACGGTAAATCGGAAAGGAATAAAACGAAGTCAAATGAGTATTGAGAATGTAATGGAAGGATAGATAAAAATAAGCATTATTCTAGCCATAGAGTAACTATAAAATATCAGTAAAGGAATCTAGGGAATAACTCAGCAGTAGTATGTTGATTCAAAAGAGTAAGCTAGGGGAAGCAAAGCCCGCAGATAAGATATGCTAAGTAAAGAAATGGAACTGCTGAGAGACTACTTCACAAACACTGGTGGTTTTAGGTAACCTGGATGATATGGTGGGATGTGTTGTGGAGGTAGTTGGTAAGTAGGAAATCACTGTATTTATTTTTAGGAGAATCAGAAATCATCATCATTGCCTGTGGCCTGGGAGAATAAAAGAATTTAGCCATAGAAGTTCACCTTTTTATTTAATGTGAGGGAAATTCACCTGTACCACTGTCAGATGGGGTTTGAGTTTCTGGACCCTAGATCAGATCACATTGGCCAAGGAAATGTATTAGGTTGAGTTTTAGATGGAAGAAAAAAAAGTACCGTGATACCTTGAAGCCAGTTAAAAATCGTAAACACAGATACGACAAAAATGAGAGTGACCAGTATACGAGCTACATATGTATAGAATGGGCTGGTAAGTAACGGTAAAGAACCTCACTTGTTTTATCAATGCTATATCTCATAGAGAAGAGGTATCATTTATACTGTGGTGTTTATTTGACAAATTGGAGAATTTTTTAGTTTTGTAAAGATCTTAGGATAAAGTAAGAACTGGGCCAGCTAAACTGTACAGAAAAGGCTAGATTTAGATGTATACCTGACTGGGATGACAGAATTCCAAATGTTTAGAGAGGAGAATAAATTAGGGGAGTTGGAAAATTCCATGTTTGAATTTTAATCAAATTAATCCTAATCAGGAAGGCCTCAAAAGAATATGTGGTTGCATTAGTAACTTTTAAATTAATCAAAAAACTTAATATCCCAATTATGAAAAGCAGGACCTGTGTAGAGAGTTGGAGTTAAAGCCGTGTTTGAGCTGGGGCGGGCTTCTGCCTTAAGTCAGAACTACAATAGAAGGGATAGTGTAATGGGGTGAATGCCAAAAAGACAAGTAGCTAACTAAATAGGAGTAGAAGCCAAGATTTTTAGGAGTCACACAAGTTGAAGGAAATAAAAATGTTCTGAAGATTTGACAAAAATTTGCTTGTGCAAAATGACTCTTACAGGTCTTTCATAAACCTAAAATGAATAAAAATATTGTTATAGTATGTTAAATTAGTTGTTGAATGGATCTCAACTTTGGTTGTGCATTAGAATTACCAAGGGAGCTTTTAAAATCCTGGCACCCAGGTGTGTACTCGAGACCAATTAAATGTCTGCAGTTGGGACTCGACAGTAATTTTCAGTTTGCTAGCAACACAGGGAACCCGTGCACTGAGAGGCAAAGTGTCCTTTCTAAGGTAAATAAGGTAGAAGGGAGGACAGGGCTTTTAGAGAGGGTGTCTGGGTGACTGGCTGGCTAATAAGTTAGTACAAGAATGTTCATGTCATGTTAAGTGGGTTAAGACAAGTGCTTAAAGTAAGAAAGCATGATGGTGACACTATTTAAAATGACAGCATCTGGTGAAAGGGTGAGTGTGTACCTGCCTTGAAATCTATGGCCAAAGTATAGAAAGCACTGAAGGAGAGGTGTCTGGATAGGGTTAAAAGGTGAGATAAGCTAGGGTTGAGGGAGAGACGCATTGACTAATGTGCTAGCTCTATGGCTGCTAAGCCCTTGAAATGTGGCTAATGTGACTGAGTGATCAGATTTTCAGTTTATTTTTAATCTGAATAGTGTGGTTCTTACTGGATAGTGTAGTGCTACAAAGTGAGCAGTTTTAAAAAGTACAGATACTGATACGTTAGCTGTAACTTAGGTGAACCAAGTGTGACTTTCCGAGGTGTTCCATGTCCTGAGTTCATTGAAAATACGTATTTCTAGGCCCTAGACCTCAACGTTGAAGACTTCCTTAGAACATCCTAGACGAACATGGAATACTTGACTGGGAGGACATCCACAAGTACAGACATAGTGTATGTTACCTTCATTTAGCAATGTTTCTTGCAAAATAAAATCTTAAGTGGGAGCCCATCTTGTCATTGGGTGCCTTGTGCATCCAAGAATGATGCTGGGCAAGCATTTAAGATAAAATCATAGTTGATTTTCACACAATCCTATTACATATGTATGGAAGTAATTCGTAAGTTTCAAAGAGTGCCCTGTTGAAAGCTCCATAGGTATTAA